AGATATTTTCAACCACTTAATAAATATATAATATCTTTCATCATAATACTGTAACCATGCTACTATACTCACACACTTTGGTGTGCGATGACACATTAAAATTTTAACATAAACACAGCCCCCAAGTATTTTGAAGTAGCATAATTATTCAAAACTARTTGAAACGTCSAATTTCCCAGTTTAGTTCACTRTTGGATGTTGAAAGCCTATTTGCATGCTTCCACCAATCATAAAAAATAGTGCATATTGGTATATTATATATTATTAATGAAAAGTTTGGGACAACAAAGATTATTTCTAGCAAACAGGTCAAACTTCAACTAAAACAAGTTGTATGTGTACAAAATTGACAGATGATCTTTATAAAACAGTGTACCAAACTAACGTATATAATTTGTTTAGACTACACACAGTAAAGGTTGTTATAGAATTATTCCTAAAATATTGAAATAAGAGTCAAATATATGCCATATTAGTTAGTACAAATAACTTTCAAAATTAAAAAAAAAAAACAGAAAAAATATTCACAAGTGAAAAAGTTAAGTGCATGACTGCATGAAATTCAGTAAACACTGTACATATCACGTAATGCATTTTGAAAAAACCTTTAGTTCAGCACTACAAAATATAARTTAAATTGTTTCCCATAGGTCTTAGTTAAAGATTATATTCTGTTCATAGTTAATATGTGCTTAGAAAGCATAAGGTAAGAGGTAAGATATGTTTAGGTCATTATTATGTTGGCAAAAACATTCAATTTACATAGAGTAAAAAATCTCAATAAGTAACAAAGTGAAATATTATTGGAAAAGCCTAAGTGAGATATCCTTGAATATMACAGTAAGGACAAGCATGTTCTGTCCATATTATTAAATATATAACTAACATATTCTCAAACTTACCCATATTTATTCAGAGCGAAAAGTGTTATGGAAACATCATTATCAAGTWTGCAAGTATTTTGAAGTGTTTTGAATTACATCTGTTTTTGGTATGGTGTAGAAATATTTCAGGTAAATTTCATAGCTTTATGTGCTGTTTTAGATTGATTCTGTTGGAATATTTTCAAGCACTGAACATAAAACACCTGCTATCATGCAGATGTCTATCAATTACCATAATGATATGTAACTGCACAGACAATGATAGACAATTATTTTACATCATTTCTAAAAACCTGAATGGTTGRCACACAATTTCTATTTGCTAAACTCAAATTAAAGACCCATCATTATGTACTAAGACAAAAAAGAGGAGGAAAAAGAGGAAGAATGAATCTGCCTTTGTTTAATATTCTTTTAAAAATAAATAGCCATCTTAGGATGTCATATAGAATAGTATTCACCAGCCTGAACCAAAATAAAAATGGGAGGGAGGGGGGTTCAGAATTCCATGGGAATTTCACATGGAATGTAAGAGTCGAAAAAATCATAAGAATGTTTACAAACAACGAAAAGCATTTGAAAACTGTATTTGAATGCAAAATACATACATTGAATGAAACTTAGCTTCTTTTGGAGTCATTTTAACTCACTTTTAAATTATCCATTCGACCATCAATTTCAGTGACTTTTGTGCCCTCTATTCTATGTGGTCAGTGGTTCATTGACAGAAATTAATGATGGCTCGACTGTTGTGGACACAAAGAAAACTTCACAATTCATTTTCATTTTTTCCTATTTGTTCATACGTTACTTGTAAATAGAAGTTAACAATACACGATAAAAGATAAGTACTGAATTCCAACAGCACTGGATTTTTGTATCATTTTCAAAGTACTTCTACAAAGCGAGATGATGACATTATTTTGAACGATCAGTTTATTGGTTTTTTTTTGTTTTCCTAAAAGAGAATAGAGACTTACTTAGATATTATTCATTAAAAAAACTTCTTGAGGAAAATTAAACAACATTGTAGAACAAGTAATTCTTTATGGAAATATATGAAAATCAAGAGAAATTAGATGTTTATTAATTAGTGGCCAAAATAAACTTGGAATTGGTTTTAGAATTAGGTATTAAGTAAAATTTCAAAACAATCAATGTAAACAAAGAACCTCCAATATGATAACAATCCATGCCTAGTAAATGCAAAYTATATAATATTTAAACACACTGCTTACTAGATTAAATGTTCATGATTTTGGAATAATTTCAAGAAGATGCCCGGTGTATGATGACATAGCTCTACACATCACACATGTAAACTTATTTGTATTTGACATGCAAATTAATTCTTAGCATACCTACTTATTTTGACCACAAATAATTGATATGTTTCATTGTGAATATTTCATAACTTGAATGAAATATCGTTCAAAAAACGCGAATGAGATCAAATACAACAAACGAAAAGAAAATAGGATATTATAAGTTAAATACGAATAACTAAGACTCAAACGATTGCATAAGCATAACAACAAATTTAGTTTAATAATATAAGCTTAGCAGATATTTCTATTATCGAGTGTTAAATACTCAACTAAAACAATAGAATATCACAGGACTAGAATGACTTTTTACTCACTAAAATATCTGAGCGTTTCTTGAACTTGTTCAGGAGTTAAATCCAAAGCTACCGCGACATCCGAAGTAAACATCGACCAGTCTCCATCATTACTAGAACTCTCAACTCCACTTTCTGTTTCTAAATACTCTTGTTCGGACATTGACAACGACCCATCGTTAATACTAGATCCTCTAGAATCATCTTTGAATACTGTACCATCGCTCAGGAATGGATCAGACTCGCTAGATATCATTTCTTCCTTGTATGTTTCCAAAGATTCGACATTGGCGCCATCTTGAATTTCCAAGAGGTCAGGACTCGAGGTCTGAGAAAGCGCCACCGTTGTATCTTAATGAATTTAGACTTACAAACACGACGATTGTATGACCAAAAGTCTGTACTACGATGACAATTTCAAATTTGCAATGTCTGATTCAATGTAGTGACTCTTTCGATGACCGAAAGTGAGAGAACACGATGTAAGATCGATTCTGACCTCATTCACGGACGCGCGAATATTTCCTATATCATCATTTTGGATGACGTCATAACAGCTAGTTTTGATGACGTCATAACAGCTATTATTATTATTATTATTATGACCGAAAGTGAGAGAACACGATGTAAGATCGATTCTGACCTCATTCACGGACGCGCGAATATTTCCTATGTTGGCCTGTGTTAAACTGATCTCTAAAGAAATACACCAATTATGTCATTCTCAAGCTTTCCTTGCTTGTTTAAGACTATAAACAAGCTGAAAAAAACAAGGACTGTGGCGAAAGAACCTAGATAAAATGCTAAAATTAAACAGTTGTGTACACACGCTTGGTGGTGTGTAAAGTTCATTCGCGATGCTTTGCCGAAGTAAGACCGAGTAACGTCCGAAGGAATACCGATCATATCCGAAAACTTCAAAAATGCTGAATCGATAATTCCGGAAATTCCGCGAAAAATAGAAAATAAAGAGCCATTTCATTACACTTTCTTTTAAATTATGCGTTTTTGAAGTAAAATAGCTATRAATAATTATTCTATAAAGAAATCTTGCTCAACACCTAAACYATARCTACTTTTTGATTGTGGTACACTCCTTGGTTCATGGCAGAATTCATTGCTGAATAACTATTGCATTATAAGTAGGCCAGCGCCATGTACAATGAGTTTCCAGTTAGTGTAAATATAATTTGCAGGCCGCAAGTTTTCTTACAAGGTCCGCTGCACAAGTTACGTAACGTAAAAGTATTTACGTACAGTCACTCCAGAATTTACGTTTCTAATATCTTTGCCGTGCGCATCTATAAAACACACACGCGCACAAAAACAAGTCATGATTCTAATAAAACACAAATAAGTGCAAGTGTAATATCTAGTGTGCAAAAGTCATTAGCGTCAGGGTGATTATGTTATACAGGAGTCGGTAAACAAAAACAAATCGATTTCGTACCACTTCTGGAAAGACGACCTTGCATTTCAATGGACAGACTCTCAAAAATGATTTCTTCTTCTTCTTTTTCTTGCTCTCCTTCATCTTTTTCACTTCCCGTTTGGAAGAGACCTTCAACTAGTTCTTCTTTGATGGTTCCCAGCAGGGAACGAAAGTACTTCATAGTACCGAGTGGCATAGGTRGACCACGGCAACAATCTCAATGCGCAATTAATTGTAAAACGAAGCTGAAAGAATTCTTTGCCTTGTACAGAGCACAAATAGGATGGATTGCTACTCAAATGTGTCTGCAAAGCTGGAATCTAATGATTCTGATCTGAACAATACCAAGTTCGCGGTGTTGCTGTGGTGGGCATAAGTCAACCTGGTAACTGCCTGTACAATATCCTGCGTTATTATGCCTGGACTGGGATTCCGTTTTCTCACAACATACAAAAGAGCAGGAGACCTTATTCAAATCCTAAATAACCCATACTAATCCATCGCTTACATAGCCGGTATAGACAAAGCGCCGATTTCACGGGATTTATATTGTTTTGAATGTGTTACATAATCAAAATCAGTGACTAGTAACAGAGTCTTGCACGTGCAGCACGTTCACTGATCTTGTAGGAKGAGCCGACGGGTTCCTGGGAGAAATATATCTGACATATCTGTTCTTATGTCCCAGCCAGCTGTAAGTCACAACTGTTTGCCAGCGAGAAATTCAGGAAAAAAGAAGATCAAAGAACTCTCCAGGCAAGGAATACTTTCTCAATACTGAATTGTTTCCAGGAAAATAAAAATTTCCTAACTAAAAAAAATTAAGCAGTTTTGACCATAAAAACGTTATGTAAGCCTTGTTTGATGACCTTAAAAACGTTTGCCAGGAACAAAATTATGTTAAAGAAGCAAAGGGCGCCACATTTGCTTGTGAGATTGTCAACAATGTAGCTCAAAATCTCTTTCCCAGGAAAAAAATCGTACAAGAACCGCAGTTAATTATTTAGAAGCACAGACCCCGTCGGCTCCTCCTGCTGATGCTCCCTTGAAATTCTATCTTTTAAGGAAAAGCTCAAAAATTCCAAATATCAATACCAGTATCACCTGTTAAATGATATTCGTGGTTCATTTACCGGAAAAGTAGCTAAAAGTAAGTACGGCACAGAGTTCAAGAAGAAATAATAAACAATTTGTCATCGGTCTGCTTCGGAGCACTATTTCTTCCAAGAACTGCGAAAGTGAACACGAATCACACGCAATGTTTCATCAAAAGCATGTTATTTTTGTGTTCTGAAAAAACCCGGACTAAACTTTATTGTTTTGGGATTGTTTTTATGAAGCCGTCTTTGACAGTAGTACAGATTAGTAGTACAGTGTTACGTGCGCTTCTGTGGTTGTCCTGGAGATSGGACTGTGTATATCCTGGGGGGCTTTACTCTATACTAGTCTCATACTACCTTTGAGCTCAGAAATCGGATCAAAAAGGATTTCCTTTTTCCGTCAATTGCACGAAAATATAACCAAATACTAGTAATATACCGATATTAGTTATTGGATTATCACAAAGTGCTTGCTTTGTATTAGGAAGGATTAACAAGAAAACCCGGCTGGAATCAGTATTCACAATTTATTTGTACAACTCATAAGCCATTGAATTACTTAAAAGTAGTGAATTCCCTGAGTTATATTAAGTGAATAGCCTTCAATCAAATTTACATTTACGCAATTTCCGAAGACAAGACTCCAAATGACAGTCAAAGCGAAAAGCTCGGTCAATATATGAAGTAAAAGCGTGTTTCCTGCATGTACCTGCTGGCATCGTGGCTAGCACCCGCAAGTTTTGACTAAGAAAAACTCTAGTAAAAACCAAATAACTTCGTATCCCTCTTCATAGCGAGTAAATTCTCCTTTTAAATCAAAATGCTACTATTATAGAGCAAACGTCATGTAAATAAACTCTATACTTAGTTGAATAATTAGGAAAAGTCAAACAAACTTTCGCATAATACTCTTAATTATTCTGCATATAAACAGCTGCATAAGAATAAGAGAAAATTGGGATGATTAACATAGCAAAATATAGCCGTTCATTACATTACATTCACATTTTCTCTTCGTAACATTTATTTGTCCAAGAAATTGTCAGTTGAAACTGGACAGTGGCTTGTAAACACTACAAGGCTCTTGTTTAGATTTTGATTTAAATTTGACGGCCAGTGCAATCAAGCGAGAATATAAAAACTCACTTACCTCTAGTAAGGCAAGCTTGCATCGATTCAGGAAGATTATCAAGAATAATCCCTTCATCAACGGGACTTAYTGGTTCTTTTTCTTCTTCGAGGAAACTTGACATGTCACCGGAATTTTTTCGTTGTCTAAGACAKAGATGACACATAGCACGTATTCAGTCTGGCTAGGTGAACAACTTGGTTTCCTCAATCTCCTCGTTGCAATTCTTATAGTTTTCTAGTTGGACTAAAAAAAGCCGAAGAGTTACTTCGTTACTAAGTCATAACGTCCAAATAGAAATATTATCCATCTCTGCGTCTACCATTGGTAGTAAAGATAGGTGCTAAGAACTCCAGCAAAGTTACAAACAGCTGAACATTGTTATGACCTGGCTGTCACTATAGAGCATGCGTAAAAGAGTATGTGTAGTGAGGTATGACGTATTATGAGTTTATGGAGGGCAGTATTAACCGGATTTTTAGCGAGGAGTGGACGCCCTTGACCTATATTTCATCGAGATACCGATRATTACTGATGTTGTCTTGTTCAAATACTTCTAGTAAAGGAATATCAGTTTTCTTCGGAACAGATCAAGAAATTTGCGGATAAAAAAAAGAACCGAAAATATTTGTCCGCAAATTAATATAAAAAAATGAATTTGAAAACTCGTGTATTATTACAGCTGTAAATACAAAAAAAGTTTGGTACAGTCTAATAGACAAAATGTTTGTGGGGGGAGCCTAAATCATGAACAAAATCTCGTTCCCAGGCCTTCATGCCTCCGTCTGACCACAAGCGAATGGATAAGGGCCTGGTAAAACTGTTGTYATAAATTAAACAATATGCGAGTCAAAATTGCTCTACAATTGACTTCTGAACCTTTTACGTCACTACTTGATTTTCAATACATTGTGGTATCAGTTTCAAGAGAAAACAAGAGAAATCCACCATGTTTTGTCCCAAACATATCCTACAATGCATTACGTATACGGTACATGACGTAAAAGCTTCAGAGGTCTATTCTCTACAAGTACATCGCAAGTATTGAAACTACGACTTCATTGGTGTTTAATATTAATTCTCATGACAGTATTGTCAAAATATACAATTTGACAATATTAGTAAATTTATAAATTATTATAAATGTATTTATTATAATGTATCGTTGTWTCAAATGATTCATTATAGTTTTTTTCATATATTCAATAGTTAGTTCGGCGACGACACAGAAATCGGGCCGTATCAAAGTCTATTCATTTTGCTACATAACCTGATATTCAATCATATTTTATCTTTTTTTCTTTTAGACTTTTCTATTAAAAATGGTTTTTCAAAATGATCTAGTCGCCATTTTAATTGGCTCCACACCACGGTACATGGTCTGATATACTGTTATTTGACCAGACAATCAGAGAGCGAGCTATCTCATATCACTTGTTGTATATTTAATAAAAGTTTATCATTTGAGCAAATGCAACTTGTAGTTAAGTCATAAAAAGCCATAAATCATATAAACTTGAGTATAAATGTGCAATATCACTCATGGCTTCAGGAAATAAATATCTGATATCCGAATTTATATAGGTGTATACAACAATTTTGAAAGCTTAATATGTCCAATATTAGAAGATCCTTATGATATAATGAACTCAAGGGCCTTGTATCTTTTATATATTGGCCTTTTGGTCAATGACAAAGCATTCTATATTACAGTAAATGTTTTTTTACAACTGCATTCCTTATTTTCCTCAAATGCTCCGCATTCCACAATATTTTTTTCCGGCATTCGGGATTCCCGATTCTACTTCAACCTCCGAGAATCTGATAGCACCTCTCCGTTCATTGAACCGGTTTATGTTAGAGCTGGAGAGATCCGTGTAGATTTGCTCAGTGTGTACTTGATTAGGCAATTGAGACACGGACATCCTTTGCAACTCGTCCGCGTTTGATTGACTTTCGACGGTCAGAGGATGCACAGCGTTTCCACCTTTCCTCAGTTTGTTTCTGATGACTTTTACCACAATTTTTCGAAATCTAAAAAGATATTTGTAAAACGAAAATTTGATTAGAAATGCGCCACTTAACCATGTGGGATTGCACGGAAATCATACAAGGGCATGCCCAGATGATCCTCGATGCCAATTTCGTACCCAGAGCCCGCACTTTGCCATCCAGTGGTAGGTGACATTTAGCCGTGAAGAGTCTGGGCTCGAGACTCGAGCTCTCCAAGGTTTTCTGTTGAGCTGACCCTCTTAAAAGGTCAAAATTAACAGGAAATTTACTGACTCGTACCATGCCCACGCTCTCCTTTCCCTTGGTGCATCGCGCGATGCTTAAAGGAGCGAGAGAAGAGCCTGGTTGTGAGTCTGTGAGACCTTGCAATATGGCGTCAATTTTTAAAACAATTATCAGCATTTGGAGAATTCTGTACGTACGGACATCAAAATAATGTAAATTGGCAACATAATGTAAATTGGCTACACTAACCCCCCCTTTTTTTATAGTGCGGTGACCTCAGAAGCAGAACAAAAAGTCGATAAGTTATGTTTTAATCATTACTATATCTTCGTATCGTAGTGCCAAAAACTCTAACAAGTTAAATAAACAGGGTAACTATTTTAACAATTTTTCCTCCCACGTGAACAAATTATAGAAAGGTTTAAATTTCCGCTGTTCATTCATTAATCTGAAAGGTTGCCCACGTACAAGTGCAGAAGTATCCCCTAGGCCGCCGTTGCATGCACATACAAACTAACAAAACAAATCAAAAGAAATGGACACACGGACATCCCAAAAATAACCATCAACAAACGAATGAACATTGAGCAAATTATAAGCCGTAAACGAAACTCAATGTTAGAATAGAAATCATTCACATCACTGACCCCTTCCGTTTGCATGCAGCTATGCTTTGAAGGATAACTCTTCAAAAATAAATAAAATATACAAAMAATGGTGGAGTTTAATCTAGCTTTTTCTAGGATGTAACAAAACTTTCGGATCACAAGAACAACAATTTTAAAATATGAAAAAGCAAAATTCATTATCAAAATTTGCTCTCCTCGCCTGGTTTGCATTCGACTGACCCTTGTTAACTTTACAAACACACCTATGTCCAGATTGAACGTAGGTTTTCGAAAACTGGCGTATATGATATTATATTAATAGCTTTTTTTAAGATAAACTAGCGAATATTTATGTAGTGGGCGTTGTTTTGGTTTCCGCATTGTTTGTRMCACAAGCGTGGCTACGTTCATTTAACAAACACTGAAACAATTATACATCCTTACCTGCCATTAAATGTAACATAAACGATGGGAATATACACTGCACTGGATTTAGCGATGATAGTAGGAAGAAGTGACAGTTCTCCATCCAGCAAATTCCTCCCGCCAAACAACGAGATCAAAACACCGAAGCAGTACGGAGTCCACGCGATGATGTAAAGRAAGATGGCAGCTCCGATCATTCTAGAAATGCTTCCATATTCAATGATTACTCTAGCGCGTAAGTTTTTCTCGCAGACATTTTTGTGTTGTGCTAGCGATTGAGAGATCTTATAAAGATATCTCATACTCATAGTTATAGGAACGAAGAAAGCAAACACCGTTAATACCAACGCGTATACCAAGTCTCCTGTATTTGCTGGTCTCCACTCTGGTGCACAATTCGTGCCGCCTCCCTCTAGAGACATTGATGTTAGGCCAGTCAATGGAGGTAGCATACCAACAACAGAAAACAGCCAAACAAGTGCTATTGGAATCGTGTTCTTTCGAGGTCGTCTGTCTCGATGGCCAACAAAGCTAAAATCAGTGATTGCTCTGTGAGTTTTGCCTATGATCACCATTAAAAAACATATCATTGCAATGGATGATGTGCCAGATAGAAATCCTTCAGCCAAGCAAAATTGTCTGCTAAAAGCCCAGCTTTCTTTGATGGCAGACACAAAACTACTTGGGAAAGACGCAAACATGAAAATAAGATTGGCGACGGCGATGTTTATGAGGTAAGGAGTGAGCTCCTTTCTGTATGAGTCCTTGTGAAGTAAAGCTTTCAAGTTCACAAGTTGCAGTGGAATTCCCAGAGCAAAAAAGACTGCTATGCCAAACGCGTAGCCGATATAAGCTGCTTTACTCACTTCATCGGCCATCCTGACCAGGATTCAGTAGGATATGAGCTCGACGTTAAACGTTGCAATGGCTAATGTAAGCATAATGACGTCAAATCGGAAAAAAATTCATTTTCAATTCGGAGAGATTAACTCTCATAGGCTACTTGCAAATGTGCGGAATAAATTACAAAATAACATAAATAAGTAATTACAATATATAGTATGATCAGTCTTTTTTTACTTTTGCAGAATATTGATTATTAAATAGTCAATATTTTTTTAGGTTTAAAAATACAGTCATATTTTATGGAAAAGGATCTTTCTAGCAACGTTACTTTAAGAAACAACATTAAAAACAAATTTAAAAATAGGGAAAAGGTTACTTAAAGACAAAAGAAGGTCATTGTGCAGTTGCCTTTTGGGTGTATATTTTTAACAAGAAATCTAAATATTGTCTCTAAATGTTTACAAATGGTATTCATGGATCTACGAAATACAATTAAATATCGTTCTACACTTTATGACTCTTTGTTGTACATGTTTATTGCACTTTGACCATTGACTTTATTTCATAGGGTCATGAACGCTAGAAATACCTGCCAAAAATAAAGTCTGGGCTAATTTAGTATTYGTGAGAGTCTATTTTCAAGTGTAATTGACTGGCCATCTCAAAACACCGTTAAATCTATTCACTTTGTAAGCAGCCACAAAACGATTGAAAATCGTTAAGTTAAAATACATCTGTCTTGTTGTCTATTTATTGCTAATTAGTTAACCTTGGTCTACGCACTCCATTTTTGTTTATTAAAAAAACTGACRCATTCTATAGCTCTKTATTTGATAYYATTACAAAATTATCGTCGAAAAACAATTTGAATGCCTYCATACACAAGTCAATGTGCACTGAGAATACGAAGACATCTTAAGTGTATTCATTTTGTCGTTGAGTGTCTCAATACACCCTGAAGCAAAGCGCGGKGAAAAATCAGCATGTCCTCAACTAAGGAAGTCATTTTGGACTAATTTCCCCCACAAAAATCCCAGTGRAATTTATTGTGAAGAAAAAWAATAATAATGCATTTATATGTGGGCAGTGACAGCTGATTCAATTTATTTTCAGACATATTGACGGGAAGAGTTTGATCATTTGGCGTTGTTCAACGTGTTTCACATTCACGTGGATCGCTCTTTTATTATTTTAAAAATAAAATTTAACGAATTTGTCTTCATTCTCAAGTTCTCATATCGGAAATAATAAACTTGATAAGTGCTATTAGGAAATTGTCAGTTGGTGCTTTAACATRGTTTTGTTTCCTGAGTACGCGCGACAAAACTCTTTTATTTGGCAATGGAAAATAGCAATAGAATAAAGGAAAATGCTAGAAAAATGACGTACTGAGCTCTGAGGTGTTTTGATACGTGGCGAAAATTAGAGGAAAGTTAGTTAGGGACACAAAGAAAATGCTGGCTATCACATCTAAGTGTTTATAGTTCTGTTTCCTGAATACGCGTGAGAAACTCTTTTATGTAATCTGAAAGACAATGGAAAATCAGCGTTAGAATAAAGGAAAATCTAGAAAAATGACGTAGTGAGCTCTGAGGTGTTTTGATACGTGGCCGAAAATTAGAGGAAAGTTAATTAGCGACACAAAGAAAATGCTGGCTATCATCTAAATGTTTGACCGGTGTTTACAGCTGTTTCAAAAACGGTCATCACAGCAAAAGAGCGAATGCACGACCGAAAGTAGTTATGGGTATGGATCAATGAGAGGCATCAATAATGTTGTTTCCATCAAATAAAGATTTGCGATGGTGATTTGTTTGGTATGCAAGTGTTTTTCATCAGATAATTGAGTATCTTTCATCAAAACACTGAAAAAAATATGATGTAAGTGTCCAAAATTCTGTAAATTTGATKTAAATGATTTCCATTAAATTTACAGAATTTTGRACACTTACGTCATATTTACATCAAATTTAAAACCTTTAAAGCGCGCGATTTTTTCCAGTGAAAACTGAATTCTGAATTAACTCTCGGGCGTGCAATCGCCATTTCGCTCTGACATCATTTGTTAAAATAGCCGCTATATGCGTCAAAATTMGTGCCTTTGTTTTTTATAAACTTTAAACTTAAAGAATACAGCGAGATGATACAAATATTAACCACTTAGATAYATTAGATATGTAGAAAATAGTCAGTTTTTAAAGAATTGCGCGCTTGTAATGACTCGTAGTTCAATGTCAACTGATATTGAAACCATTTTAGCAGGGGGTAAATCTTATAAAAGCTGTTTTTATGTGATGACGTTGATGAACGTTCAATTCAGCTCAACTAAAATTGTTTATAGGTGAATTAAATATGGTGAACATGAAAGAATTACTATTTGTAAATCTGAATATAGAACCTGCCATGTTGACTTATCAATTATGGCAAGACAACCAAGGAAAAACGGAGCGTGGGCGGCCGAAGCAAAACATTTATTAATTAATTTTTTTCACCTTTTTCGTCTCTTAATATGTTGTCTAGATTTGTTTGTCCAATTCTGCGAATTTATTTATTTTTTTCAATCCCTATCTAAATGGGCGTCGTATCGTCCAAGGAAAACATATGTATGATGATTTCGTAACTAGATAATCCTATATTTATCCACGGTAAAAATTCATCAGCTATATACCAAATAAATTAAATAACTACATTATATATATATAAAGTAAATATGAAAATAAAAAGCTGCTTTCCTTAAATGCCGTGCTTTAGAATAGTTCATTAAACAAGCGCTTAAACTACCCTAGGGCTACCCCTAGGGACTCTTGCATTGAAATTGCATAGAACACCTCCCCTCCCCAGTGAGTTTTCAATTGAAGCGCGCGCAATTTATAATGACGCAGGGGGCTCCTCAATGACGTCAAAAGTGACGTCACAATGGTAATTGTAAGAGTGACATGAAAAGATCATCATTTTGCTTGCTATTTTTGCTGTTTAGGTTTTTAACGGTAGYATCAAGTGAAGAATGCCGATTTTTGAATGAAAAACTTAGATGCACAGATTTAACGCATATTTCAAAGTTTGCTGACCGATATCTTTCTGCAGCACTGGTGTAAGTTCAACAGCTTCTTTTGCATTTTGAACGGAGTAGTGAACTAGCTCTAACTGTTTTTATTCTTATCTAGAGATCTGAGTAAGAATTCAATAAACCTTGTCCCGTCGGCAAGTTTCAAAGACTTTGTAAACTTACAATACGTGTAAGTATCTATTTGATCTATACATGAAAGGTCCACGTGCATCCGAAAACCTTTGCGATCGTTTGCTTTGTCTTAAAAGATGGYCTGTTGAAAGTTGCTTTCTGATTGGTTCAAAATCAAAGATGGCGCAAAAGTTCTCGAATGCACGTCGACCCTTAGATATTTTCTAGAGATTTGGGAATTGATTTTAGCAAAGTGTTTTGAAGTTTTGTAGTCTTTTTAATTGTAACTTCTCAAAACAAACACTATACATCATTACGTTTGTTGTTGACAACTCACAACTCAGAATGAAAATCTGCAGATGTACCTTTTTGCAAATAAACTTTTTTCTAAATCGAAATTTTTAGCGGCGCTGGTTGACTGAAAAAATAGGAGAGAAAAATAAGCKCGTTTTGCGATATGACAATCCCATATAATAGGCTCCCATTAATATATTTTTTGGGGTACTATTTCATATTTATATGCGAAAGTGATTATCGCAAGTTGCAAGTTCATTTCTAGAATGAATTCTCRTGTATACCATATATAGCTGTCTCTCAACTTGTTGTATATCATATACATATGATCTGACGCCGATGTTTTTCAGCAATCTTTCTAGGAATGCRCTCAGTCGAATAGAGCAAGGAACCTTCAGGCACAGCAAATATGAATGGATGTAAGTCAAATGTTAGCCCGATTTATAAATGAGATATATCCACACTCTCATTGGCTGATGGTTGTGTTTATATTAGAGTACAGAAACATGGTTTGATGGTTGAAAAGGCCAGAAACATTTTATGAGATAGAACGGGCCGCTTTAGACTCTATTCTCCGATATAAACACGAGGGAGATCATTGCAAAGCGCTAAAACGTGTTTCTCTGATGCTCTTTATCTCCCGTCTACAACCCCGTTTATACAAAGAGAAGAACACGCCCGACCATTTCATTTTTCTTAAATGTAAAACGTTTATACAATATTTGGTATTGAGTGCTCTTGGACTGGTCAAGAACCGTGTTATTATAAAACTGTATGCCTTTCAATCTTACGTTTAGTCAGAGTCAGTGCGTCAACTCTGTTGCACAGACGTATGAAAAAATGGAATCTATTTTAGTCAACATGGCGTTGCTCCAGTTGTCATGGTTTTAATTTTTATTTGTCACTTTATAACTGGCTGCTTGACCAAAAGRSAAATCTAACCACTCYTTGMGAAATACTTTTYTCAWTTTATTGACGGTGAAAAGAAYATTACGTAGTTATTCCCTTGAGACTAGACAGAGAGTATATATAAGTCAGGRTAAGTGYATACTCTAGACACAGCATAATGTCCATTTGTCCCATATACACGACTATTTTCAAAAAGGCGGATGAATACAGATTGCAAAAAGAATWWAAMAAAAWGTATACACTTGGCATTCCGCTCTCGTCACGAGAATGTCAAATCAAGGTCGGATAATTTTCCCTCTAGGGCATTCGTGAGCGAGAGGATACCATTGAAACGTCGGCACAGATGTTTTGAACTAACTCAGGGATTCTGTAATTCTATTCCACTCAAATTCGCCGCGCTATATCAATGAACGACAAAGCAATTTCTACCTCCATCAAAGAAAGCAATTATATATCTGCCGGTGTAAAATTACCTCAATTTTATACAAAATATTGACGCCTAATGGCCAACGTAAAAAAAATGTTTATTTCGGTCTGTAAGAAATTGGAAATCACCTCRATATCTGATAACCGTTTAGCCTTGAGTTTATTGGTTATTTAAAAAACAAAAAATTACTCGGATATGATACAGAGATTATATGATATAGACTAGATTCTTAATTGCTACATTGATTCTTAAATGATACATGTGAAATTCGGCGTAAAGTTACTCTGTCTGATCCTGCGACGCCGATGAAAACAAATTGTCAATATTCCTGAAACATTTTGCATTCAATGGACATCTGCAATACATTAGATTGACTTCTCACTATGCTTTCTCAGGCAATGAAATCAAAATAGCGCCCATTAAATTTCTTAGAAACTAAAGTTCTATTGCAAGGTTTTATTGTTTCAGATCAACAAAGAATCACCCTTTTGGTTTTTAATCACATATCTTAACACTTCAAATGTTGTTTTCTCGTTRCAGTGATTTATCGCACAACAAGCTGACTRCTCTTAGTAGAGAAGYGCTTCCAGTTGACCAAGATTTTCTTGAAAATTCTTTAAATTTGTAAGTCACGTCCCCACAAGTCATGTAATGRTCGTTTTAGTTGACGTCACTCTATATTTTCTAAATCTTAAGGTACCTACACGACAACCCCTGGGACTGCACATGCGCAATCAAATGGATGGTTGATTTCATCAAAGATTCTCTCATTAGACCCAGGCTTTCTCAACCAAAATGCTTCACGCCAAGGAGTCTCAAGGGAGTAAAACTTGTGACACTAGAAGACGAGCAATATTGTGGTAAGCTGATTAAGAATTTTGGTATTTCATGCACACTGTAAAAGGGCATGCGCAGGGCTACTTACAATGGATACAAGTTGCTCGCCACATTGTCCCACACGCAATATGTATTCCAGGTGGCTAAAATGAGAGAAACGCCAAATATGCATTTTGCAGGTGACAATACAGCTTCTCAATTACGAAAATTTGCCATCTTCGATTTTGAACCAATAGTCTCCTTCACGGTTCCCTGCGCCATCTTGAAAGGTGGCCGTGCCTTTGCATCGAAGCGAGACGGCCGTTGAGCGTGCAATGATAGATACCTTCTTTCACACCTACAGATAATTATTCACAAGTATCTATCATTACACGCTCAACGGTTGTCTCGCTTCGATGTAAAGGCACGGCTACCTTTCAAGATGGCGCAGGTAACCGTGAAGGAGACTATTAGAAAGCACCATTCAACAAAAGATCAATTGTAAACGATCTTGGGCCTTGTAAACAAGGCTCTTGGGTGCTAGTAGCTCTTTAAGCATTTTAGACAGATACAAAATAGGGTGAGATCAGTACAAAGTTATTCTGTTTATGTATTTTATAATTACAAAACACTGAGTAACGTTAATTAATGTTAAGAATGTATATATATTTTAATCTAACAATCGGAGATGACAAAAGATATGTTTGTAGTCATTCAAGAATGCCTGGAATGTGATGACGTAGCACGATGTACCCTCAATGGAAACAAGTATCAATGTGTCTGTAAATCGTCTTACACTGGAAATGGGAAATTCTGTACTGGTAAGAATAATGTTCATGCAATAGTGTCCTTCACGGTTACCTGCGCCGTCTTGAAAGGTAGCCGTGCCTTTACATCGAAGCCAGACAACCGTTGAGCGTGCAATGATAGAAACCTGTGAATAATTGTCTGTATGCGTGAAAGAAGGTTTCTATCATTGCACACTCAACGGTTGTCTCGCTTCGATGCAAAGGCACGGCTACCTTTGAAGATGGCGTAGGGAACCGTGAAGGAGACTATTTCATGCGAGCTAGACTACCGACCCATAAAATAAGAGGTTTTCAATAATTTCTGCTAACAATCTTTTATTTTCTCAATTTCTTGAGACGTCAATGAGTGCGTTAACCCTGGCGTCTGCAAAGCCAACGAGATTTGTGAAAACTTCTCTGGTGGTTACAAGTGTACCTGCGCAGTTGGATTCGAACGTAAAAATGGCCGATGCCAAGGTTTGTAGTCCATTTTCTTGAACCCTCAAACTGGTTCTGACCAATCAGAGCGCTTGTAAGGTTGACGGACATCATWCGTACTATTTATAACACAACTCTGAATGAAGAACATTTTTATAACTATTTCACTAGACGTGAATGAATGCGAATCGCCACCGAAAGGCTGTGGAGCGGGACAAGGAGTCTGTAGCAATACAGCAGGCAGCTACAAATGTGTTTGTCATCAGGGACTTCACTACGTGAAAGGGCATGGTTGCATAGGTAAGACATGCCATGTTATAGCATGGATCGCTTAGTAATAAAACAAAATATTACACGTGCACAC